AAGTTACAGGTCTGTGAGAGCCAGAAATCTTGTTTGTTTGTTTTTAGGTGACCAAATACTTATTTTCCACCATAATTTGCAAATAAATTCTTTAAAAATCAGACAATGTGATTTTCTGGATTTGTTTTTTTCTCATTTTGTCTCTCATAGTTGAGGTATACCTAGGATGAAAATTACAGGCCTCTCTCATCTTTTGAAGTGGGAGAACTTGCACAATTGGTGGCTGACTAAATACTTTTTCCCCCACTGTATATATATATATATATATATATATGCAAGAAACCTCTCCTGTACAGTTTGTAAAGGAAATGGTTGCAATTTAAAAACCATATGAAAGCCAATGTACATACTGTAACTTTCCAATGTAAATGACGTTCTGTAATGTGGAATAAGGTGTTCATAATGAATAAACCCATGCATATGTCTGTGTTAGTTCATTTTATGGCAATACATATGTGTACGTGTGGGGGGAAATGAGCAAGGAGGAACAAAAGAACGGCTTAAAAACACAAAAGCAAGATTAATACTACAGTATTAAGGATTTGTGGCTTTAAAACTTAAGTCCTTACATGCACTAGTTCTTAGACTGTGGGCATAAAAGGGGCCAATATACTCAGTCAGAAGAATATGTTTGAAAACCCTCACCATTTACCGACATCTGAACATGTGTTCTGTATCTGGCTACTTCTGTAACCTCCCAAAAACGTTCTTCATTCTTAGTTTGAATGATCTTAGTCTGGAATCAACTTCCTTCCAGAGGAGACAGTTGTAAAATGTGCACCATCATCCCCATTTAAGACATCTTTAAATCAGATCAAGTATAAACACTTTGGGCAACATGTCAGCTACTTCTTTATGAAATGAGAAATTCTCTTCCTTAGTTAAGTGAGCTTTATAAGATGTAAAGAAGCGGAACCTCAGTTAGTATTCAGACTTAGGGATGACTTGCATTCCGCTCATGGAAAAGGCTGGTTCGGTTGTGCGTCTTTCTGTCTTCCTTTGAGTGGGGAAGACCTCCACTTCTGGCCCTGGAGATTTACCGCACAGCTAATCCCATTACTCAACTATCAGATGCCAAATCCCCTCTAATGGCATTACACGTGCCAGAATTACGTATGATGATGCTTGCTAATGAGAGCTCAGCAGATATACCTTACTGGAACCAGTGGCCCTTGTGCACAGAGTAGCCCCGTGGCTTTGCAGCTTAATGGACTCAGTATTGAGTGTCGAGGGAAGTCAAATTTATCGACAAAGTGCTTTTAACAAAAAGCAGGTTGCTTGCAAAGTGCATCGCAGAGCAACAAAGGATGTAAATACATCTAAAACGACGAGCACGTTGAATAGTTAGTTGAAGGTAGAGAGCGTGTGTGTGTTTGCAACATGTGTGTGTGTGTGTGTGTGTGTGATGAAGAGAGCTGCAGGACAACACCAGGGACAAGTGGACACTTAAAGATGTATGAATGATGAATGGTGGGATGAAGTTTCCCATACAAAGCTCACATCGGGCTGTCACGTCTTTTCACTTATGCAGAAGGTCATTTCAAAGGTTAAATGTGCACAACAACAAAAAAGCCTTTTGAAATCTATTCTCGGTGTTTTCTTTGATTCTGCGTCACAGGAGCAGAGGGTTAAGAAACACTCATGCATTCTTGTTTGTGTGACTTCCTGTGGTCATACCTTGATGCTGAGCAGTATTTCCTGCTACTTTATACTTCTATTTCCCTACATGCCGAGGCAATTATTGTACTTTCTAAGATCGTTTCTTTATGGAGCTACTTAGGTCACGGGTGCAGAGGCACGTTGAAACAGGAAAAGGCCTTTTTTCAAGCTGTTGGCACAAAGTTGGAAGCACACTGTTGCACAGAAGTCTGTACATGATTTTGTTCGTAGAGCACACGCACTTTAATGATCACCTGAAATATGTCACTACCGCAAGTTGTTGTTTATGATACTGAAAAGACCACTGAGTTGTTTTGCAAGAAATGTGCGGCATGAATAGAATCACAGTCAAATTAAAGAGGCAGTGATTTCCTTTAGTCCAATCAGCTTCCCGATCCTTTCTGGGATTGTCCAGCATCACTGTATAATATGTCTGCTCCACTGAGAGTGAACATGACATCGGAAGCCCCTAATTTGAATCTGTGGATGAAAAACAATGGAATGATCAGGTAGTTCATGGGCCTGGCAGCGAGGCCGGTGTCGGCTCTCCAGCTGAAATCAAAGCCTCTCTTTTTGCTCTTAAAGCGCCCCGGAAAATGATTTATACGCCTGCTTTGGGCTTGTCGCGATGCCACTCAGAGCGATTTATCTTGTCTTGGCTCTGGCTCTCTGTAGCAGGAGCCAACCAACCTCCCCCTCCCCTCCTTTCTGTTGTTTCAGCATGAATGATCTTTTCCATTGACAGCTTTGTTCATCCCTGCAGGCAGCTCTGCACCTGTAACCAAAGCCCGGTGGATACCAGCCTAATTACCGTTCTCATCTGGCACCCAGCTGCGTGCCATGTCCTCGCACGAACTCATAGCAAACCGCAGAAGTGGAGGCATTAGCGAGTTAAAAATGAGCCTTCATTCCTGGAGCTGTCCAACGCAGCACATGTGGACAGAGAGGGCCAAAGTACACACATCCTTTACTCAAGTACAGATACTCGTGTTTAGAAATAACTAAACTAAACTTCTTTACTCAAGTAAAAGTAAAATTTTGAAATATGCTTAAGTAAAAAGTACCCATAACTAGCAGCTGTTTTAAAGAGTACCTGACCTCCCTTTATATTAATAGAACAATAATGTCATTGTTAGCTAATGAATGTTTCCATGCTGAACAACGGCAACATGACAACGTTTTCATTGGTCCCTCTTCTTTAGAGAAGACCAGGAAATGATGGATACACGGATCGTGTACGCAATGACTCTAAATAATAATGATCACGCCACCAAACACACATTCAAACTGAAGGAACCAGCCTGTTTGGAAAATGTAAGAAGTAGAAAGTACAGGTATTGTTGTACTTAAGTACAATAACCAAGTATTTGTACTGCACTACTTCCCATGTGGAGAAAGTGTTTTCAAGGTTAGGATGTAGGAAAGAAAGACGACGCTCAATCTACAGTTACATCGTCAATGGTTGCTGACAGTTGACGCTTATGTCATAGAGGCAGGTATCACTGTCCTGTTAATCCCCTGCGTGCCTGCTCTGATCTGCAGCAGCTACTGTTTTTACAACCAGAGATGAAAGTGCTGTCGGCGGCCCAGCCTCCAAACACCATGCTGCGGAGTGAGAGGAACTGCCTGAGCACGGAAAGGTGGGATCAACGGGTTTGAGCTGAGAGAAAAAGAGAATCAGTGCACAACAGAGGACCAAGAAAGCCATGGCACTGCTTCTATGAATGCATGTCGCTGTAGGCAAGTAGGCATTGGAAAAAAAAGAGCATGCAATCTGCGCTCGAACCAACTACAAAAAAACTGCGGTAATGGAGGGACTATTTTCTATCATTGATGAACGTATTCAACCGTTTGAACCACACGATGACGCACGGTGAAGAAAAGCACATTGAATGGTATAAACTCCACGAAGGACACATTTATTGTGAGCTCCGCCATAATATATTTTTTTTCGTTCTTTGTGTTCAGATCTCAATGTCCTATTCGCACAAATCAATGCCTGGAATTGATATGCAAATCTTGACCTTTGCCAAGATGTTATGTGAATACTGTAAATCTTCTTCTCCAGTTCGCATCCATTAAATAGCACGTTGAAGGCAGATTTTCCTTGAAGATTATAATTATGTGGAGGCATTTAAAGTTTGTGGAGGTGGAAATAGTACTCTGTTTTTTATTAAGTAAAAATAGCAGTATTAAATGGCTCTGTTTAGTAGGCTACAAGAACAGTTCTGCAGTGGACTCTCTCTCCTGAAATATGTCTTCTTCTCCTCTTTATTTCCCTCTCTGGTGCTGACAGCACTGAATGTAATATGCAGTGGCCCAGAAATACGCATGTGCATGACCAGGCTGGTTTGAAAATAACACCGACTTTAAGCTGCATGCCCCGAGCATGACGTGGCTCTTATGCAATCGCACAATGAAAGCGGGATATTTGGGGAATGTAACTCAATACCCTCAAACATTTATAGACAAGGTGTTGCCAAGGTTTGGGGAGGCAACTGGCAGCTGTCCATCTCCAAAACAAGAGCTTCTTTGAANCTAAAATGCGCCTGAAACACTTCCATTGACCTCCTTTGTTAACTTCTGTAACATGGTGACTTCTATTGGCTAGCGATCATTATTTGCGAAAGGCTTGGGGGCGGGACATCTCTAAGCGGTTGACCAATTACAACATGAGCCGGCCAGCTAACCAATCAGAGCAGACTGGGCTCTGGTTTCAGACAGAGGGTGAAAATAGGTGCTGCAGCACAGGCAGTAAAAATAAAGAGCTTTTTGACATGTCACAGTAGAGATAATACATATAAATGAAACCTGACAATTTGCATAATAGGGCCCCTTTAATAATGCAAATTATATATCACATTATTATGGTGAAAAAAGGTCGAGCACATACAGAAACTGTGTCTTTTTTGTGTTCGTGTGCATGTAGGCTCAACTCTGTTGCCTTCAACTCAGCTGTTACAGGCAAAAAAGTAATCCTTGACAAATTAAGTACAAAACTTTTGACAAACATTGGTTGCAAACTAAACCTTCACTTGCAGACATGCTCATCCATCGTGGATATTTCTCTGCAGTCATTTGTGCACAGGGTGTTCCTGCAGGAGGCTTTAGCTTCCTCTGACTGGGATAGAGGATAAGAAGACCAGCACATGCCTTCAGGGCTTTAAGGCTTCCTCAAATCTTCCTCCTCTCTCCCCTTGACAAAAAAGACTGACTACAGACTCCCAGCAATACCTTACCGAAGTGAAGGGAACCCCTGCTGAGCAAACCGAGGGGGCCACGGGCCTCTGGGTGCCGGGTTTGAATGAAATGCTCGTCATGGATGATGCTGGGCAAATTCAGAGGGATGTAAAGGAAGGGAGCTTCTTTTAAAAACACTTCAAGTAGGTGTTGGTGGACGCTTCAAGGACAGCTGTGTGATGAAATAAGTGTGAAAAAAGGGAATTATTACGCAGAGTTCATTCCTAGATGTTGTTTTCAGCACTGAAGCAACCAATGAGACGACTGTAATGCAAATAGTGTGTGTTTTATATGCTCTCCCTCGAGATGCTGTTTTTAGGAGAGAAAGTGAGGTGTGTAGTGTGTTGTTCATTTTTTTAACAACATGTTCAGGGAGCACAAACACACACACTGAAAATATCCATCGTTGTGTTTTCTGCCTCTGGTAACGGTAATCCCAGCTGGCATATATAGGTTAATTTTGTAAAGGCACTTTTTGTATATAGAAGTATGCGTGTTCCGCATATAGATGTGTGGACATTCAAGAAAAAAAAGTTGATCAGATCTGTTATTATTTTTATTATGTATTATTTCCCTGGCTCTTGTATGAGCAGGTACAATATCTTCATTTTGAACTTCCAACATCTCAAAAGAAAATTCTGCTTCACAACGCGTCCTAAGACAGTTCCTTGGGGAACACCTTCCTGCTCCATGAACCTCTTGGCTTGGGAAAATAAACTTTGAACAAACCCTGAAGTCTAAATAAGCGATCATCAGGAGGATAAACTTAAAGCTTAACCCTTGGATGCATGAACGACCAATACCTACACTCTTCCATGAGTGGGGTCAAAAATGACCCCAATTAGAATCAATTGTG